ACGTTACGTACTACTACTATATCGTAGTATATAATATATATATATATATATATATATATATATATATATACGATGTATATATATACATCTGTGTGTGTACGTGCGCGTGTGCGTGTGCGTGCGTGCGTGTTTGTGTGTATAATTTCTATAGCAAAGAACGGAAAAATTAAAGGTTACCTGACATATAGGACAGTCAGAATTATAACCATTTGAAGAGTACAATTCCGCGGCAATATATAATACCACTATAAGCTTATGGAACTAAAAAACTAAAATACACACGAAGAATACGTTGGCAACGTGATGACAATACATCAGGAAGACATTTTCGTCTGTTATACCAATTATACGAGCGATGTGCTCTAGACTGTAGCTTACTTCCCCGTACTTGTCATGGCAGCTAAATTCACTAATGCGCGTTATATTGCGCACAGATTAATCCCCGTTTTATTTCGGCCTCATCATCGCCACGGTCCATTGTTGGACGCAATTCACTCGCCATCGGCGTCCAAATATCTATGGCTTTACCTGTAATTTCCGAGCGCCGGGTTGTTATGTCTGTGAATGACCAGCCGTAGAGTGTGCGCGTGCGTGCATGCGTGCGTGCGTGCGTGTGCAGGCACCTGTACGCCGGCAGCCGGCGGAGGCACGCCACTTGACGCTGTTGTTGCGCTGCGTGTGCGCGCACAGGTGCTGCGGTCGTCATGCCGCCCCTGCGGGCTCGTCGCAGCCCGCAGCAGGGCAACCCGAGCGGTTTCCTGCCCATTCTCATTCAAATGCCGCTGATTATCATCCGAATGGCTCGATATCGGCTTCGAATTTATTGCGAATTTGCGCGAGAAGTTGGTGGCGACCGTGGAAAGAGCGCGCGCGCGCGTTCGCGTTGAGCGTGATGATAGGGTGCAGGAAATGGGATAAGCACTTTCGATCAGGCGTCGACATTGGCGACGCACTGAATACAAATGACGCGATTTGGACGTATTTTACGTGATCATTATCCGACGCTGGTGCGCTGCCGACGCCGCCGCAGCGTGCATATTGGCCGGGTGTGGCGCTGTAGAGCGGCGGTGCTGTTTATCACGCCCGGCTTCACTCGACTGACCCAGCGTCGTTACCGGACAGATGTTTAATCGCAATCTAATGCCGATATAATCACGTGTTGCGTCGCAGAATTATTAATATCATATCTGTCAAAAGTCTCGGCCAGAAAAATGCGGAGGAGGGCGGCGGCGCCCCCTATTTAGCTGGGCGGCAATGCCGACTGCCGTGTCACGGACGCATGACGGCAGCGAATCGCGGCGGCGTCGACTGCGCTGCATATTAAACGCCGCGTCATCTTATCACGGCATCGCGCATCGCAGCGAGCATCGAGCACGCACGATGTGACGAGGCGTCGGCGCGCCACAACACACCGGAAACCGTCGGCCGGCGCGAGCACGCAGCTTCCCCCCGCGCGCTAACGAGCGGCGCTACCATCGCGCGGGGGGGGGGAGGCGGGGATTTTTTTCGCGGCGGTAATTCTCGCTAACACCTTCGTTCTTTGTCGTCGATTGAGTCGCGTCGACGTAACTCATTAGAGGTGGCAACGTCGCTCATCTCATCAGATAACGCGCGGCGGGAGCGCACAATGTCCGAGCTGCGGCAGCTTGCAGCCCTGCAGCTACGCCCTGCCGACATTGTGCAAACTTTTTGATTGATTTCGCAGCAACAATGCGCTAATGAATGTTTAATCGGCAGCGAGGGTCGCGCGAAAAGCGCTACGTTTACGCGCACGGGATCGCCGTTGCGGCTAGCGGCCCGCCGGTGCGCACGCTGTGTCTATACCTTTCCGCCGAACAATGCGCTGCTGCTCGCGGCCGCCCGCGCCACCGGCGGCGGCTATAGCGGACAGCTCACCCCCGGGGTGACGCGACGTGGCTTGCACCTGTCGCGCTGACGGGCGGCGGCAGTTGCATGGCGAGGTGACGGCTTTTAATGGCCAGCAAACGACGTCGCACGAGCAGCGCTGTCACATAATCGCGTGCAGTGTGCTCGCGCGTTTTTGTCGAGGGTGTGACAAAATTTGGCATCGTATACAATTAACGGAAAATTACGGAATGGGCATAAAATGCTGACGCAGGAAACGTTGCGGTTGTTAAAATAAGAAATAAAATTAGAGCTTAGCCTTATATCTGTTGTCCCATATTTTGGGAAAAATTCATAATAATTCCCTCATTGATAATTTTTATTTTCGTCATTGAAATTATGTAATTTGATTCACCTAGTTGGCTGCTCTTTACCGTAGATTTCAGCATTGTGTTATAAACATATGTATACATACATACATACGGTCATACATACATACATACATTCAAGAGTAGATAATAACATCTATTATCTACTCTGCATACATTACATACATACATAGCATAATACATACATACATACATACATACGATACATACATAGCATAACAATACATAGCATACATCATACTAATACATACATACAATACATACATACATACAAATACATACATACATAAGTACATACATACATACAATACATACATACAACCATACAATACATACATAGCATACATACATACATACATACACACCCACAGGCACACACACACACAACACACCACAGACACACACACCACACACACACACACACACCACAGCACACACACACACACACGACACACCTACATTACATCTCATACATACGATACATACATCATACATACAGATACATACACACACACATACACGCCACACAGCACGACGCACACGCACACGCACAGCACATCGCACAGCGCCACGCACTACGCACACGCACACATACACACATACACACATACCACACATACCACATACACCACATACACAACATAGACACATACACAATACACACATACAACATACACACATACAACATCATACACAAGCATACACACATACACACATACACACATACAAACATACACGCACACGCACACACACACATACACACATACATATGTACATAATATCATATACCTGCATTAATGTGCGTCTGTAAACTGCAGCTTTTAATTACTTGAATATATATCAGGGAATCAGGCATTGCGTGATATCGTACCAGCGACGACATGAATGTTTCACAGATCGTGTTGCCAAACACAATGCTTAAGTATCTCATAACATTGACTTAGTTCTCGTTTATGCTCGACTTTGATATATCATCGCTCTTATTACTGCATAATAGCCGAGACAAGAGTTGTTTTCCTATAGGTAACGCACGCCTGCTATTGTTTCGTCGCCTTTCATGCTATACGTGCATGGACTCCCGACGTGGAGCGACACACATGAGATGGCCTGGCAGATATGGCGTGACAAGGCGTCATTACTCAACGCCTTTAATCACTTGTCTGTTATTTAGCTTTAGAAATGTACAAGGCATTACTGCATTCTTCCAAACACTCCGCTTCGTTGCTGCGAGACGTTCACTTATCAGTTTTAACCATCTTGAACGAGCAGCCCTGAGCCTATCTATTTGTGATGGATAATTATGTTATCTTGTATGCCTTTATCCACCATTGTCGCTTGCTTATGTAGTGCACTCATGTTAAGTGGCGATACATTCCCTTGCTCCATACAATGTTTCCTTGTTGCGGCGACGATTGCTCTGCCAGGCAAGCAGCTCGTGATTTTTATTCATCTGCCGGCCAACGACATTTCACGTTTCTTTCATCGGCGTCGTGATATGTAAACACAGTTGTCAGCTGCTCCGTAGCAATGCTACCTCAGTGATCGCGCACTTGCGAAAATTGAGGCGCGGAAAGGTAACCTTCTTCTCGCTAAGTTTCTCCCACGTGCATAGTTCCACGGTTTCATGATTGTCCCGTGACCGCATGTGACAGCTGTCAGAAGTAACAAAGGCAGTTTGGTGTCAGCGTGCATGTGGCTAATCTAATTAATTTTACTGGGCTATTAAAGATTGGAAGGGGAGCAATATGGCAATATGGCAAGAATACAGTAAAATAGTGAATAACGTCAAAGCCGTTATTTAATAGTAATTGTGTTCGATGCGCCGCGTAAGTACAGATAGAACAGATATTTGCGAATAACTATTTTAAGTTTATATTATAGTTCGAGTGGCCCAATTTATTTTTAATCAAAAAGTCTTAATCATAGTACGATAATTTTTCTGTCATTTCAAGTAACGTTTGTTTTTTATACTAGAAAATTCGTCTATATTATACAACTTTTGTAGATCATCTCTTGCATTCTATTGCTAACACGCAGGTAATATTCAGTTGTATCATCATGATGTGTTACCGCTTTTAAGTACGTCTCGCTGTCGTATTTCACTGCTTTTTCACTTCACTACGCTATCTTATAGCTTTTCATTGCTTTATGTTAAGACTTCGTAAGGGGCTCACTGTGCTGGTGGCCACCCCAGGCAGACTGCTGGACCACATTGAGAATACATCAACGATGACGCTGTCTGGTGTGCGCTGGCTCATACTGGATGAGGCTGACAGGTGGGAGCTTCACCTATCCTTCGTTCACACCTGGATATCTAACAGTGTTGTTACGAATAGTGGGTAACGTGTGCCGATCGAAGTTTACCTGCGCCGATATATTTTACCTGTTTAAATAGAATAAAAAATGTTGTTTGGTATACATGTTATTGAGTCCTCTCGTTGTGTAGCTGGTAATTCTTTGTTGGCTACTGCATTGTTGTTTATGTTTCGTTGTTACTGTCTTCTACAGGTTATTGGACATGGGCTTTGAGAAGGACATCGCTGCGATTGTGACCGCTTTAAATGCTCAGCAGGTAGATGGCGCCACTTCTCGACGCCAGACGGTGCTGCTGTCTGCCACCCTTACCGCAGGTACCAGCTATTGTGCGCCTATTGCGGGCATGATTGTTCACTCTTACATGAGATCTTGTTGTTGGTAACCTAAGAAAGCATTCAGGGAAAGTGTGGAGCAGAACAAATTTCAAAGAAATCACATATGGGTAACTAGCCTATAAAATATATCACGTATTTGAGTTGAGTCATATCTAGACTGTCCATTCGGGTTATGAAAATTCAGATATTATTTAAGTATGGCCTAATGACTTCATATCTTTGGCTATGAGGTGAATACGTTGGTATAAACGCGTAAGCATACAGAGTAAAATGAGGCTAAACTCGGCTCATCTAGCCGAGATGTTTTCATAGGGATGAAGTCCGCAGCAAAAACATGCGAAATGTCGGGACTTTTCTTCGACTGAACATACCAAGGCGGTTTCCCGTGCGAGCGCGGGTAGGGGTAGCCAAACACGTACTTCCTCTGCAAACACAAACCTCGGCATACAATCGCCAGGCATTCATATGATCAGCCCCTGTTTTCAAACAGTTTACCTGCATCTATTGGCTACTTCCTGCCTAATTGAAGACTGTGTGTGTTCGTGTGCATGTGTATGTCTGTGTTTGTAAGTGCGTGCGTGCGTGCGTGCGTGCGTGCGTGCGTGCGTGCGTGCGTGCGTGCGTGCGTGCGTCTGTGTTTGTATGCATGCGTGTTCGTGCGTGTGGGTATGTGCGCGCGCGTGTGTGTATATGCGAACGTGTATTTGTGCGCGCTTGCGTGCGTGTGCGGGCGTGCGTGCGTGGGTATGTATACATTCTTGCCCGCGTGTGTATAAAAGGGCATGGGTATCAAGTATGCGTATGTGCATTAATTTCTATACGCGTGTATGCGTGCGCGAATGCCTGTGTGCACGTGTGCGTCATTGTATGGAAAGCCATCCCCTTCAAAAATCATTTTCAAACATTTCAAATTCACAATTTCAAAACATTTCACATTAATTTATAAAAATACAAATTACTTTATATTGTTCGAGAAATTTAAATTCAAAATTTAAAATCAAATCACAGAATAACAAATCTATTTATTAACTTGCAAATTAATTCACAACTTTCCAAAATAATTGCCTGATATACAAATTCCTTCACATCATTGTAAAAATTCATTTTCTAAACGTACAATTTATTTTCAAAACAACAAACCAATTTACTAACTTGCAATTTAATTGAGAACATGTTACAAAACTTACAAATGTTCAAATCTTGCTTCATCACCCTAACCATTGAAATTATTAATTTTTTTAATTAATGTTTTAATTGTTATTAATTAATTTACAGAATAACGAATCAGTTCACTAAGTTTTAAAATGAATTTTTACGATGTGAAGGAATTTGTATATCAGGCAATTATTTTGGAAAGTTGTGAATTAATTTGCAAGTTAATAAATTGATTTGTTATTCTGTGAATTGATTTTAAATTTTGAATTTAAATTTCTCGAACAATGTAAAGTAATTTGTATTTTTATTAATTAATTTGAAATGTTTTAAATTGATTTAAAATTGTGTATTTGAAATGTTTAAAAATGATTTTTGAAGGGGATGGCTTTCCATATGATTGCACATATGTATGGTGTTCCAAAATTGCCGTCGCGCGTCGTGCGATTCAAATGTGTGACGTCGCGCACGACGTCGCACATTTCTGTTCCATAATTGCCGTCGCGTCGTGTTTTTTATTCCTTCCTCAACCACGCCGCCGCCTTTGTCAACCACGCCGCCGCCTTTGTCAACCACGCCGCCGCCTTTGTCAACCACGCCGCCGCCTTTGTCAACCACGACGTCGCGCATTTTCAACCACGACGTCGCCCTTTTTCAAACGAGACGTCGCCCTTTTTCATACACGACGTCGCCCTTTTTCAAACACGACGTCGCCATTTTTCAAACGCAACGGCACCCTTTTTCAACCACGACGTCGCCTTTTTTCAAACGCGACGTCGCTCTTTTTTAACCGTGTTCCATAAATGCAATCGTGCGGCGTGCGGCCCATCTAATTACACGCCGCCGCCTTTGTCAAACACGACGGCGTGCATTTTCAACCACGCCGCCGCCTTTGTCAACCACGCCGCCGCCTTTGTCAAACACGACGGCGCGCATTTTCTACCACGACGTCGCCCTTTTTCAAACGCGACGTCGCCCTTTTTCAAACACGACGTCGCCCTTTTTCAAACGCGACGTCGCCCTTTTTCATACACGACGTCGCCATTTTTCAAACGAGACGTCGCCCTTTTTTCAAACGCAACGTCGCCCTTTTTCAAACACGACGTCGCCCTTTTTTCAAACGCAACGTCGCCCTTTTTCAACCACGACGTCGCCCTTTTTCAAACGCGACGTCGCCCTTTTTCAACCACGACGTCGCCCTTTTTCAAACGCGACGTCGCCCTTTTTTAACCGTGTTCCATAAATGCAATCGTGCGGCGTGCGGCCCATCTAATTGTCACTAAAAACAAGAGAGCGGAAGAATTCTTTACACAGCTCGAACTCATGCATACAGCCGTATACGTAATACTCGTTTACAATCATAATTTAAATATAAGGAAACAATATTGAGGGATCTATAGATAGACCTATGCTATAGTCAGGAGAATGTTAATTAGCATTACACAAATTTATATACATTCATTCATGGTATAGATATGTGAAGACAGGCACATGCAAATCTTGAACGAAAATGTCAAGGCTGTTGATTTTAAAAATCCCCAATTTTATTATAGATTAACTAGACCGTACAACCCATATTCTGTATATAAATACTGTGCAAAGCTGTGAAAGCAAATTTTCACTTGTTTTCATCGCTGTGAATCAGAAAATTAAATCAAAAATGGTAACACTTACCGCAAAGGAATTCTTGTTATGAAACAGCGGGTTGTCGTTGGTGAAGAAGTTTGTCTTTGAAACGGACAAGTAAGCGTAGTATATAGGGCGCAAAAGCAAAAACACAATCAGAAGAATGAGGCAATTATGCGAGCGAGCGTAAAATCGCTCGCAAAAAGTGGTCGCAATTACATAGGCCGCACGCCGCGCGATGGCATTTATGGAACACAGTTAAAAAAGGGCGACGTCGCGTTTGAAAAAGGGCCACGTCGCGTTTGAAAAAGGGCGACGTCGTGTTTGACAAGGGCGACGTCGTGGTTGAGGAAGGAATAAAAAACACGACGCGACGGCAATTATGGAACAGAAATGTGCGACGCCGTGCGCGACGCCGCACATTTGAATCGCACGACGCGCGACGGCAATTTTGGAACACCATACATATGTGTGCGTGCGCGTGTTTGTGCGTCTATGTGCTGCCAACACCGACAGCTTATACGCGGTATAGTTCTCGGACAAGAGTCAATTTCCTCGAGTAGCAAGGAGATGCGCGCGAGAGCGAACGAGATAGAAAGAAGAAGAAATAACGCAGAGTTCTGAATAACGAGGAAGCGAAATGCTGACTGCCGACGGCAGGCGTCTCGGTGCGTACACGCGTGTGAATTCCGTGCCTCGCGAGTTACAAGCTGGCTGCTATATAGTGCGGCTGGGCGCGCGAAGCTGTGGAAGATTAACACGGGTGACCCCTCGGGTTGCCTTCGTCACTGCTGCCGAGGTCACGCGAAAGTTGCTGCTTGCTTTGAGATGTCGAGTTGATTTGCCGTTGCAATGCTTCGCTGGTTTCCACAGGTCTCGCCTACTGCTTTGTGTGTGTGTGCAGCTACGTATCTCTCGCTATGCAGTGCTTGATTTAAAATTCGCTCAGTTGTCGGGCCTCAATGAAGTGTTCAAATAGACTTGAGACTTAAATTTAGGCAGAAATTGGCCTAATTATCAATGTGGGTGGCAGAGTACACGCTAGAACAATTCCTGGGAAATGCCCTCGCAGTGTGAAAACTGTGCAGCGGAAGTACTCGTGCATATGTCACAATAGCTAGCTGTTCCTCTATTCTGTTTCTATTTTCGGCAATTTCTCTCGAGATAAATAATTTGAAAATAATGATGAAATGTAGCTACTTACGAAACGAAACAGTGTATACATGCCGCTGCATAAACAACACACGAAGTAATAAGTGATCAACTCGAATAAAAAGTTAGCGCTGTAATTTAGACTGTAGCTTGACTAAGTCTACTTAAACTGCCTGCTTACATGGGGCGGCGTTTAGCTGAGAAAAGTGAGCGTAGAACGTGCAAACCCGGCCGACACAAACAATCAGCGGGCGTCGGCGCGTTTACGGCAGATTACGCGGAGCGGCGGGTTAAAACATGTGGCGAAATTCGCAGGTGAAATTAGATGCACTTTGCACCTTAATTAGGTGCGCGCGGGAAATTGCGGGCGCGGGATAAGGCGGCCATTGTGTTGTCCCGGTCACACGATGGCCGCCGCTTGCCTCGGCTAATCACGCATCCCATCGCAGATGTCTGCATGCGTGTTTATGCATCCTTTGTGAAGTGCCTTATTTTCTGTTGTTTGATCGTAACTGGTGGCAAATTATCAGCAATTTACCCGGCCCGGTGTTTAAAGTGTTACCACGTGAATCGGCCTCGGCTGGTAGAGAATCGCAGACTACTTGACTTTCTACGGGCTGCGTCTTTGTGTTGTACCCACTAGTATTCATTTCTCAAACGGTTGAGGTATTCGCCCTTGGAAACAATCGAATGACGTGTCCATGTTTTTGCAGATACATAATACTTATAATGATATATTTAGGGATAATTATAGAAAGACTGCAATTAAATATTCCTACCAATAATAATTCACGTATCGTGTAATTGAAGTGCGTTAGGTCAACGTAATTATTTGCAATTAAATTTTTCAAAAGACTATGGCATCAATTTTCTTCGATTTACACAAACATACCCAAAAAGTAAACGTCTGATTGCGGAATCGTTTCCACCACTTTCATACTGCTTCGCGTTTCCTCTGACCTTCATTTCGATCTAGCCTCTTCGTTTGACGTGTAGATGATTAATGTTGTCGTGAAAGTGTTAACGGGCACGTTACTTGATACTGAGCAGGTGTACATCGCATGGCCGGCATGAGTTTGCGAGACCCGGAGCAGGTATTTGTGGGTGCGGACGCGCCCGTGCGTGCGGAACCAGCAAGCAGCAGCACAGCGACAGGTTCGGAAGGTATCTAGTCAAGGCTAGTGCCAAAACGCTCTCGCTCTATACCTGCTAAATAAGTAATCAGCAATTAACGCTGTCGAAAAATGCACTGCTGGTGCTGGTGTGAATAATGCACGTGCGCCCACGTAATTATATTCATTGACGAATTATTCATGAATTTCTCTGTTTGAATGTTTGACGGTGCTTGGTTGAGGTTTGATGGGGTTTTTTCTGGTGCATGCCTGACTGATTATTCAATTGTTTCTTAATCGGCAACTTATCTGTTTCGAGTAAACCTATCGCTTCCTTGGAATTTTTTGTTTCCCCCTTTTACCATTTTCTTACGTTTGTCGTTTAGAAATTTTTTTTTCGTCGGTCACGTGTCGTCGGGGCCGAAGCTTATTGATCGCATGTTCCCTGTGCTTATGTTGTTCCCTGTTGTCTGTGCAGTTTTGCGAAATTAAAGTCTATTGTCAGCCTGGTAAAATACTTATAAGAAAGAAAACATGAGCAGCAAGTAACACGAGTTTCACCACGGTTTAGCGTTTAAAAGTTTGCTCTTATGTCGTTGGTGTGATGTAGCGCTGGTGTCTGCATGCACATGCATAGAGCCGCTCACGTATTTGTAGGCTTCACCCTGCCGGACCAGCTGGGACAGGAATTTGTCATCGTGCCCAGCAAACTAAGACTGGTCACCCTCACTGCTTTCATCCTCTCAAAATGCAAGGTAAGCTGATCGTGCGTGGGAGGCAGCGGGGGAAAGTGAGGAAGACTAGGAGGCTAGGTGGTTGGATGGAAAGAGAGAGGGGTTAGATAGGGGGCTGGAGATTATTGGGAGCTGGAAGTGTGGGAAAAATTGTTACGTGATGGAATGATTCTTTTACAACATCGTGCACATTTAGTTTCTGGTGTGCTAATATCGGAAATATATGATGCCCTATGTGTCATATATTATAAGCAGTGAGTGGTATGATGTGATGTTATATAGAGAAAATATACTTTTAATAGATCTAATGTAATTGGTACCTTGCCGTTTTAACCATGGTGCGAGAAAGATTTAATTGCGTGTTTTCACGGGTTTTACGTTGTGAAGTGTCTGTAAAATTAAGAGCCTGTTGTACTGCCAAATAAAATTCTCCATAGTGTGCCCATAAATCTTGTGCGCTAGGCTAGATGGCTGGCATGCATACTGATTCCATGACTGTGGTCAATTCTGGGAAATATTGGCTGGTAAACCGCACTATAATTGCTAAAAAAAACTAGGTGGGAAACTATACGTGATTGCCTACCTTGCGGCAAATCCGTGATATTGCCCTTTCAGCACTGAAACGAAACGCCCAAACAATATATGAAATTATTTTAGATGATGGATAATAATAATATTTTAGATGTTCGTGGATATAATATAGCAGTGCTATTGTCAGAATAAGCTGTAGCGGCATGTATTGATATGAATTGTTATTTATTCGTTGTACCAAATTCGGCCTTATATGTCCTAATCGGTAGAAACCCAATATAACATTTTGAAATGTTTTATTAATATATGTTGCGTTCAAGTATGCCCAAGTCATCGGGGTCTAATATAATTTAATCGCGTATTTATCCAGGCATCGTATTTTGTATTTCTATTTATAGCTCTGTTATAGCGACTTGTCTACTCGCCTACCTTTAGCCCCGCCCCGTCACACCTACTACTAACAGTGATTATGGTAGGAGTCCATGCGGCCCTCCCTGCCTCTACCGCACTCGTTCTTTACAGTGGTCGTACCACTGCCATGCACCACTGCCGGTGAACAGCAGTGGGCCACTGTCAGCAGGTTGCCGTGATTAGCCTGTCCAAGACAAATTGCATGTCTAACATCGTGTTACGAGGAAATTATCGACATGTTTCGATCCTGTCCAAACGTCATATAATATATATTTAGTAATGGTGGGCGATGGTATGCATCAAAATAGATTAAAAAAAGCACTACGAAAATGGATTAATAAATATGAGCTAATACAGGCGATCTATTGGCCAAGCATTTGCATTCGGAAAGCGCCGTACAATCTCGAAGTGGTTCCAGTGCTACTAATTATCATCACGAATATGTCATTGTATAATAAACTTATCTTTTGCAATACGAGAGCAACAGCAACATTGTTTTAGGCGTTGTGTGGGCTGCAAAAAGGTGTCTGCTAATAAGCCCTGGTCACAACGAGCCCACGACGCATTTGTGCAACGACACGACAGAAGATTTTGGCAAATCGTGGGTCATTGGGGGTCGTCGCAAGACAGTCCTACGAAATTTTGAGCATCGTGGCATCGACTTGCCGTCGTGACGCAAAATTGAACATTTGAAAGGCAAAATTGATTTTTTGTGGTATCTATGTCTTCTGGTTGTCGTGAGTCTGTCCTACGACAGTCTTGCGACTGTCGTGCGATAATACGTCGTTATATAGTCGGGAGACGGACGCGCGAGCATCCCACGAGTGACCCACCACTGTTGTGCGACAGTCGCACGACTGTAGCACGCGCATCCCACGAGTGACCCACGACTGTTGTGCGACAGTCGCACGACTGTAGCACGCGCATCCCACGAGTGACCCACGACTGTT